TTTTGTAAGAACAGAACTTGCCTCCAGAAGTTGTGAATGCCCCAACAGTGGAAGTCTTTAAGAAGATGTTGGATAGCCCTTTGTCTGAAACGGTGTAGGGTTTCCTGCCTGGGCAGGGGGTTGGACTGGAAGACCTCCAGGGTCCCTTCCAAATCTGCTATTGTATTATTGTACATCACGATTAAACGTGGTGGCACAGCATAACATCCAAACCCGGTCCGTGTTAAAATCATAAAAGCCTGAAAGAAGGAAGAGTGAGAGACTTCAAAATTGCAGCTGAATCAAAGTGAGTGAGAGAGAGAGAGAGAGAGAGAGAGAGAGAGAGAGAGAGAGAGAGAGAGATATGCTGCATTTAATATTAAACAAAAAAACACCACCCAAAAATCAACAAACACACAATTCCCCCCTCCTGTTCCGAGCAATATTGGAATGAAAAATGGCATCGTTTTGTCATCTGCTCCAATTGATGTTCCACTCTCTTCGCGGTGACAGCCAAAAAGGCCCACAGGTGCCATATAAAGAGGTGACCAAGTTGTCATATTTCATTTAGGCGTCCCTCTGCAAAGGCATAATTACCTAATTAGGTTGTTAATTAGGAGATTAGCATTTCGCTCTATTGATAGAATGCTCTTTGCAGGCAGGAGTCGGGAAAACAGATTTGTTGGTCTAATTTATAAGTGTGGTGGTTTCTTCCCTTCCCCCCCCTCTATCCCCCCCTCCCCCCCAATACTTAATTGGCTTAAAATATTCAGGGAGAATAATTCTGCCTTCTCGGAGTGGGGAGTATTTTTTTCTTGAGACCCCGACGTTTAGGCATTGAAGCCATGGTGAAGCTGGTTGGCCTTCTCCAGTTGTCTGCCTGGAAGACACCCAAGTTGGAGAAGACGGATAGAGCTGATTTGCTAAGATTTCTTTCATAAAAATATCTCCTTCTTCTCTTTCCCCATCCTCCTCCTCTTTCACCTTCTCCCTCTTCCTCCTCTTTTTCTTCTCTACCACCATTATTTCTTATTCTTTTTCTTCCCCCCTCTTCTCCTTTTTCTTCTTTCCCCTCCTCATCTCCTCCCCCTCCTCCTCCTTCTCCTCTTTCACCTCTCTCTCCCTCCTCCTCCTCTTCTCCTCCTCCTCCTGCTCCTCCTCCTTCTCTACCACCATTATTTCTTCTTCTTCCCTCTCCTCTTTTACCTTCTCCCTCTCCTTCCTCCTCCTCCTCTTCTCTTCCTCCTTCTTCTCTACCAGCATTATTATTATTCTTCCTCTTCTCCTCCTCCTCATCCCCCCCCTTCCAGGCTGGAGAAGGATAAAGGTGATTTATTAGGATTCCTTTCATAATAACTTCTTCCTCTTTCTCCTTCTTCTTTCCTCGTCTTCTTCCTCTTCCTCTTGCTCCTCCCGATGTGCCCAGCTCCAAGCATCCCTGCTTAATTTGCGAATCTATTTTTCCAGTGTTGAGTTTCTTCAATTACCTCGAAAGGAGCCACCTTTCTCCTGCCACCTTTTGTCTCTCTTCTTGTGTCAAGTACCTGGGAATTGACACACCAATAGTCTTATGTCAATAGCAGAGAAAGCATCTTTTCTTTGAAAGAGCCATTGGTTAAGGAACAATGCAATCCAGCCCGGAAAAGGAGGCGGCTTTTGTTTTTAAAAAAAATTATCCTCCACTCTGCAGACTTCAGAAAACTGCAATTGACAAACTGTTGGTGTGTTCTTGCAAAAACTGTGATATCCCCCACCCCCCTTGTTGCTAACATCACACATCCCTCTAAAGCGGTGTCTGTAGGGGTGGAGGGTATCTTCTTTTTTCCTCTTTAAGTTGCACCGAGACTCCATTCTTTATTGATGATTTGGGAGACACAGCTCACTCACGGTAATCATTTCTCGCTGGCTTTTGAACCCAAGAAACCGCTGTAATTTTGAGAGAGCGTAAGGCAAATAGGGACGCGATGGCTCAGGGGCTAAGACGCTGAGCTTGTCGATCAGAAAGGTCAGCAGTTTGGCAGTTCGAATCCCTAGTGCCACGTAATGGAGTGAGCTCCCGTGACTTGTCCCAGCTTCTGCCAACCTAGCAGTTCGAAAGCATGTAAAAATGCAATATAGGAAAATAGAAACCACCTTTGGTGGGCAGGGAACAGCATTCCTTGCGCCTTCGGTGTTGAGTCATGCTGGCCACATGACCACGGAGACGTCTTCGGACAGCACTGGCTCTTGGGCTTTGAAATGGAGATGAACACCACCCCCTTAAGTCAGGAACGACTAGCACATTTGTGCGAGGGGAACCTTTACCTAATATTATTTACTTGCATATAGTGATATTCTTCCAACTTCTAATTTCTAGCTCTATTATTATCTAACCATTGTTAAAACAAACCCCATGTTAAGGAATAGTCTGCGTCTTCTTTGTCTTTTATCTGTAATGTTAACCTATCCATTTCCGCACAGCTAAACATTTTTTAAAATTATATTTCCATCCGTAGGAGTTTCCTCATTTTTCCAGTATTGTGCAAATGCAATTCTCAATGCTGTCAAAACATGTAATATTAAATATATGTTCCCTTGATCATATTTTTTTGGTACTGTGCCTAACAAAAATATTTCTGGCTTTAAATCTTAATGTATTGCTTTATCATTTTCTCTAATTCCTCTTAATGCCTATCATTTTGTCAAATTCCTTGTGTATCCAATCACACTTAGCTGATAAAGAATTCAAATTCTATTCTACTCTACTCTATTCTACTATTCTATTCTACTCTACTCTATTCTACTATTCTATTCTATTCTACTCTATTCTACTATGCTATTCTATAATACTATTCTACTCTACCCTACCCTACCTTACCCTATTCAATTTCTTATTCTATTCTACTCTATTCTACTCTACTCTATTTATTCTACTATTCTACTCTACTCTACTCTATTCTACTATTCTATTCTACTCTATTCTACTATTCTATTCTACTCTATTCTACTATGCTATTCTATTATACTATTCTACTCTACTCTACCCTACCCTATTCTATTTCTTATTCTATTCTACTCTACTCTATTCTACTCTATTCTACTACTCTACTCTACTATTCTATTCCACTCCACTCTATTCTTCTATTCTACTCTACTCTATTCGACTATTCTACTCTAGTCTACTCTAGTCTACTATGCTATTCTATTATACTATTCTACTCTACTCTACCCTACCCTATTCTATTTCTTATTCTATTCTACTCTACTCTATTTACTGTATTCTACTATTCTATTCTACTCGACCCTACGCTACTTTATTCTATTCTGTATGTATTTTTGTCCAATTTTTTTTTGCCTCTTCCATTTTAAACATCCATTCAAACAAACCCATTTATTCCTCCCCGCCGCCCCCCAAAAAACCTGACAGTTTTGAATTCAAAGAACCAGGTTGTGAGTCTTCCCTCTTCTCTGTCATCGTTTTTGCCCACTGTATCTCTAGCCAGAAGTCCTTGCATGGGAATAGTATATTTACAAACGGTAGTCCCTCTCCCACTCCCTTTTTTGCCCTTTGACTGGCATGCAGGTTGAAAGGATGCCAGTTGCAATGGGCTCTTAAGGAAGCCGGCATCCTTTCCAGGCCTCCCACTCAGGCCGTAAACGGTGTAAAGTCGGGGTTCAGTGCGCAGGAAGATGGAAATAAATATATAAGCGGGCCTTTGCACCTGCTGTTATCCTGTTGTTTAACTCCCCCGGCAGACATTAAATCATTTTCAAGCACAATAATAGTGTGGGAGGTAAATTAACTAACCATTAACCATCTTATAAATACACAATTAACATGCCAGCGTTTATGCGATGGCATGGATCGGGCAGAGGTAATTTTTGACTGGGAGTTGGCTTCTCCCGGTGCCCGTTCTTAAGTCTTTGAGGTGCTTCAAGCTGTGGAGGAGGAAGAGGAGGAGAAAAATGAGCCCCGGGGAAGCAAAAAATGCTTTCTTTTTCTTAGGACCATTGTCATTTTAAAAAACAAAAGAGCTTTTTGGCTGAGCATTTGACCTAGGATGGCGTAGCCAAGAATGGCTTTTTATTAACTAATCAACTCAGCTAGCTGCTTGGCCGGAGTGCCCTGCTGTTGAATTGAAAAAGAACCTGGGCATTTTCAGGTCATTGTGCCAAAGCTTATGAAGAGCGGTACTTGTTAAGGCCAGGAGCTAATCCACTCTCGATTCCTAAATCGCGTTACGGATATGTTGCTGACGGAAGAGAATATTTATAGTTTTCGGTTGAACCGAGGGCTCCTGGGTGATCTCTTGAGCTTGGTGGTTTTCTTGCAGACGTTTCCTTACCCAACTAAGTAACATCATCAGTGCTAGTAGGGAGGGGAGGACAATGACTGTGGGCTCAGCATGTTAAATATACTAGCTGGATACCCCTACTCCGCTATGAAACTGTATGATCAGGCTTGATAAATCGACACAGCTTGAAAATTAATGAGGTTACTATCGGCCTCTCATATCCCCTTCTCTCCTTCAGGCTTGCCCCACAGAGGCCTCTCCTATTTTATCCCCTTCTCTTAGCATCAGAGCGTTTTTCAGGTGGGGAGGGTGAGTAGAAGGTCTCAACTCCCAGCCCACAGGCCAGATGAGTCACATGCTGGCCAAGACCACACTCAAGTGGCAGTTGGAACAGTTCTTTTCAGGTGGGGAGGGGGCGTAGAACGCCTTAACTCCTTAGCATCAGAGCGTTTTTCAGGTGGGGAGGGTGGAGTAGAGTGTCCCAACTCTCAGCCTGCAGGTTGGATGAGTCACGTGCTGGCCACGCCCACACCCAAGTGGCGGTTGGAACAGAGTTATTTTCAGCTGGGGAGGGGGAGTACAACGTCTTACCTCCTTAGCATCAGAGTGTTTTTCAGGTGGGGAGGAGGAGTAGAATGTCTCAACTCTCAGCCTGCAGGTTGGATGAGTCATGTGCTGGCTACGCCCACGCCCAAGTGGCAGTTGGAACTGCCGTGGTCATAAGTGTGAAAAATGGGTCACAAGTCCCTTTTCTCCAGCGTCTTTGTCACCTTGAACCATCACTAAACAAGCTGTTGTAAGTCAACGGCCACCCGATCGGCGTCATTTCCTAAGCTTGTCCTCTTCTGTCCGACAGGTAAAGAAGACGCTGGTCCAGCATGGCTCGGAGGAGATAGTAGGGGAAGGCAGCGGAACCTGGGTTAGGAGGATGGCTTTCTTGGATAACCCGGCTATTATCCTGGCTCACATCCGGCAGTCGCATGTGACCAGCGATGACACGGGGATGTGTGAAATGGTCCTCATTGACCACGATGTCGACCTGGAAAGATTCCATCCGGCTTCGGCCAACGGGGACGACAGCTCGGAAGTACCAAACAGCAACGGCGAACCTCAGGGTTACGTGTACTCTCAGTCCGTGGACATTACTTCGAGCTGGGACTTCGGCATTCGAAGGCGTTCAAATACAGGTGATTTGGGGAGGGGGCATCTTGGGGGCTCTTCCTAGGAGGAAGCTGGGATATAAAGAGAGAAGCATCATAAGGTACTCTGGTCAACTCAATCACATTCGCCAACAGAGCAATTTAGCAGGTGGTAGAATAGAATAGAAAAGAACAGAACTAGGAATGGAATGGAATCAGAATAGAATAGAATAGAATAGAATAGAATAGAATGGAACAAGGAAAGGAATAGAATAGAATAGAACTAGGAATGGAATCATAATAGAGTAGAATAGAACAGAACAGAACATGGAATGGAATCAGAATAGAATAGAACTTGGAATGGAATGGAATCAGAATAGAGGAGAATAGAATGGAATGGAATGGAATGGAACAAGGAAAGGAATAGAATAGAATAGAACTATGAATGGAATCATAATAGAGTAGAATAGAATAGAACAGAACAAGGAATGGAATGGAATCAGAATAGAGTAGAATAGAATAGAACTAGGAATGGAATCATAATAGAATAGAATAGAATAGAACAAAACAGAACATGGAATGGAATCAGAATAGAGGAGAATAGAATAGAATAGAATATGAAATGGAATGGAATCACAATACAATAGAATAGAACAGAACAGAACTAGGAATGGAATGGAATCACAATAGAATAGAATAGAATAGAATAGAAGAATAGAATAGAATAGAACGGAACATGGAATGGAATCAGAATAGAGTAGAATAGAACTTGGAATGGAATCAGAATAGAATAGAATAGAACAGAATAATAGAATAGAACAGAACCAGGAATTGAATGGAATCAGAATAGAGTAGAATAGAATAGAATATGGAATGGAATCACAATAGAATAGAACAGAACAGAACTAGGAATGGAATGGAATCAGAGTAGAATAGAATAGAATAGAATAGAATAGAATAGAATAGAAATTAGGGATGGAATGGAATGAAATCAGAATAGAATATAATTCTTTATTGGCCAAGTGGACACACAAGGAATTTCTCTTTGGTGCAGATGCTCTCAGTGTACATAAGGAGAATAAAATACATTCATCAGCCAAAAAGAGCCAAAAAACAGGCCGTTTTCAGGCCATTGTGGACAGCACCTTCTCACCAATGTAAATTACCTTCACAGCTAGCCCAGAATTGAGAAGCTGGTCACATACCAGATATTCTGGGACTCCGTTCCTACTACCTTCCATGCTATTGGCAAATCTTGTAGCTTCGTGGTCCATGATTGAAAAGAAGCCGAAAGGCAGAGATGGGAATGTTGAAAGTTGTCCCCGTATTGGGCTGAATTTTGACGAGCCAGAATGGACTGTGCTGGGTTTCTTGACCTAAAATGGGACACCATTCCACCCTTCACTAGGACGTCCTCGTTCATCTCACGCCCCCTTCCCAAATTATACTGGGAACATGGTTGTTGTTAGTTGCGAAGTCGTGTCCAACCCATCGCGACCCATGGACAACGTTCCTCCAGGCCTTCCTGTCCTCTACCATCCTTGAGTCCATTTAAGCTCACACCGGCTGCTTTGGTGACTCCATCCAGCCACCTCTTTCTCTGCCGTCCCCTTCTTCTTCTTTTGCCCTCCATC